TACTCGACTTTGAAGGATCACCGACCACAAAGATTTAACGACCCTCAAAAGCACAGGAAATTTTTTGGCAAGAAAAAAAACAAAAAAAAAGGAAGGACATTTTTGGTTGGGAAAGAATTTGGTTTTAGCCCCCAAGCTAGGACATGCGCTCATGGCAGCCCAAAGGTCAGACCAGCGAACAGGTTAGGGGCCCTATCAGATAAAGGTGAGAGGGAGTAACAGACCCAGAGACCATTTCAGTGAGCCCAAAAACTAGGCCCAAAACTTTTCCCAAAAAACCTAACATCGGTAGTTCTCCACATAACACTGGGTGCTTACGAAATTGTAATGCACATTTCAACAAACCATCCACGGGGGTTAAAAACCCCCATTTGTGGCACAGGTGCCTATCTAACCTTAAATGGGATAAATAACCTATTTGGGTGAATCATTGTGACTGCTGGGCCCGGGGCTAACGTACGGGCGGATTTTAAAACTCCTGATCGCGGATTCTAACCCCGCCCTGGTATGGTTTTTTATCACGGGTTCTTGTTCATACACTTGATTACAAAAAATTACTTGTGGTTTTCATATTTTTTTTATGTGAGTTATAAAATTTTTTTTGGTTAGTAGGGAAAATCAGCTTAAGCCAACCTAACTTAAATGCAAAGCTCGTTTTATGCCCAAAGAAAAGCTTATTTACACTGAACCGGTGCTATTTACAATTTTGGGTTTTTACAAAAGTCCACATTACGGGCAGGAGTTTTTTCCCATCCAGTGCCAAAACCCTTAAGGGTTTCCCCCTTTTGGGCTTCAAAACCACCCCTTAAATTTAAATGGGTATGGGGATAGGATTCCTATTAAATAATATATCTAAACCTTTATGGGTCATGCAGCAGGTTCCTATAAATGGTTTTTTGACACCTAACCGAAAAAAAAAATTTTGAAGAAAATCACAAAATTTCCCGTGAAAGGGTTTAATGAATCAGATTTCTCCCCCAAAAAACCTTCCCCTTTCAGTTGTTCCCCCATAAGACTATGCCACTATTTTCGGGCTGTAGTCAAAACCGACAGCAATAGCAATGCAGTTGCACGATACCAATTTTAAAGGGAAACAATAATTTACCAGCAAAAAGTTACAGTATCTATTTACTGTGCAATAAGGGCTACCCATGCCTTAATTTTTAATAAATAGCCAGTTCATGGAACCCTTCACAAATTTTTTTTTTTTTATAATTTAAAATGCAGACTTTAAAAAACATTTACCCGAGAAATAAATCTTTTTTTCTCCATTTTCTATCATTATACAAATTGTCACACTGTGGTTTTAACCAAAACAACTAAAAACCCGAATTTTGAAATTGGGAGGGGCTGAGTTGATTGTAATTGTTTAGTCGGGGTAATGCTTTTAGATGGGATCAAATAAAGCTTCACAGCGGGTTACCACCCAAACCCAAGTTTACCCGTACCTTTTTTGGAAAAAAAAAAAAAAAGAAAATAAGAAAAAAAGAATTAAGGGTTTAAATATTTTCTATAAAACTTATTTCCCTCATAAAAGGCATAGACAAAATACAAACGGAAAACAGCATCATATTCAAAGGGCTAATTTCCCCTTTTACTTTTTGTAAAGCACAGTCCAAAACCTACCCTTGAACTTTAGCTTTAAGGTATGGGGTGATTTTTCCCAAATTTTTTGTAGGTAAAAAGGGGTGCCTTTTTTTTTTCCCGAAAAAAAGTATTAAGATTTAAAATTCTTTATTTTTAGCAGATACAATGTTTTTTACAGAGTTTTGATAACAAAATTCTATAAAGGAAAGCAAACTTATCAAGACTGTTTTTTATAGTAATAATAAAAAAAAAATGGTTGGTATTTTTTAGTAATACCACCATCCCACCAAAAAAAAAAAAAAAAAAATTTTTTCAATAACTTCTTGTCAACAGTGCAGATACACAATCAAATGCTTTACAAATTGCAAAAACCCCGCCCCCTCCTTCAGAGTGCAGGCACTGACCTCCCCCAACCCCAATCAGAGTGCGGCACTACCTCCCCCAACCCCCTTCAGAGTCAGATCGTACCTCCCACCAACCCCCTTTTAGAGTGCAGGCACGTACCTCCCACCAACCCCCTTCATGTGAGGCATGTACCCCCTTTCCAAAACCCAAAGTTCCCCAATTTGGTTAGAATTATCCACAAAAATCTATGATTTTTTTTCCCACCCAACCCACTGGGTAGGTGAACCAAAAGAAAAAAAACCCTAAAGAAAAAAAAAATTTCAAATCATTCAAAATTTATATATATACATAAAAAAACTTTTTTTACAATGCCAAAATTAATTTTGATGTCCAAAGAATAAAAACCCCCTTTTAAAAGGAGATTTACTTCCCCCATTTTCCAAAATCAAGTCTGGCTAACGGTTCCCCCTGAATCCCTTCCAAAAATATTACCCTGCCACACCCAAATTCGTCGGTCCCAAAAACCCTTGTCTCCAGTCTTCCCATCTAACAGCTCAGCACCCTTTCTGGAAGTCCAAGCCCCTCCCCACAAACCCCTTTTCTCCCTCCCTCCAACCTTTTTGGGGGTGGCCCCTACCCCGCCTTTCCCTTCCCCACAATTTTTTTTTTTTTTTAAAAATTGGGGGCCCTCTCCCACCGAGGGAGGGTAACCCAAAAAAAAATACTATTATTTTACCAAACCCTTTGTCACAAGCCAATTAAAGGCTCCCCCCTTTTCATTTACCCATGACACCCCAAATTTTTCCTACTACTCCTTCCACAAAAATTTTTACCCACTTTTGCATTAAAAATCCCCAACCACAAGTACTCTCACACTTGTTTTAAAACTCCCCAGGGATTTACCAAATTTCCCAAAATCTCCCCTCTTCCTCCTCTATACTTCCTCTTTCCCCCGGGGCATAATGCTTACTATAACCCACTCTCACAACAACCTTTATTTTTCTTCACATACTGAATTAAAACCTTATAGTCCCTCTTTTTCCTGCCCTAGCTTATCCCCCAAAATTTTTGCTACTCCTTCTTTAACTCTAACTCTATTTAAAAACCCCCGACCAATCCCATTTATCCCCTCCATGAAACTCACCCACCCCCCCTTCACTTTTTTTTCACTTAAAGCCAGGGCATCCACTTCTTTTTCATTTTAACATCCACAATCATCTCTTTCTTATCATTCGCACAACATCCACGCACATTCAGATTTTCCCACCTTGAAAAATTTTTTTTTCTTATTTTTTTTAGTAATTTTTACAGGAAAAAGATTACTACCCCCTTGTTCCCCCGCATTTTTGTTTAAATTTTACAACCCATGGCTTTTTTGGGGGAAATTCTTATTCCACTTCCCCAGATATAAAAGGAAAAGTAATTAAACAAAAACTAAAATAAAATAAAGAAACTCAATATGTGTATAAATAAATGTGACTTGTAGTTTTGTGTGACCTAATTAAGAAAAGTAGCAAGACATACCGAATCTTGCATATTTATGAACAGACAAAAGCCCACAACCTACCATCATGTAAAACAATTACAGGCTTTTCGTTTTACACCCTTTGGGAGGACGGATACCTCCCTGGTGTTCTGACTACCAACATACCACCAGATTATATGCTCCCAAATCATTCTTTGTTCCATTATCCTAAATGACCAAACCATCTCAACAGCCCCCTCAACCCTCTGACAATACTTAAGTAACTCCACACCTCCCCTTTAAATTTTCCACACTAGAATTTTCTCATAATACATATTACCCACCATGCCCTTAACAAACATCACGCCTCCAGCCACCTCCTCCAATAAGTGGTTTTGGGACTGCTATACTCACATACATTTCCCCTTTTCCCGCCTCCATGGGTAATGTTTGTTTTCTCCACAGATACCTCAACACACCCCCACCTTTTTTCCTCCAAATTTTATGGTTAACCTCATCCTTAAAACTCATCCCTGACAAACAACTACCAATTTCTGAAAACATTTACTTTTTCTAACCCCCCCTCCAAATTGAATCCAATTTTTTTCCCAACTAAATTTTTGATTCCCTTTAACTTCTCTTATCTATGTTTTTACTTTTAAAATTTCTACCTTTACACACCCGCGGTAATTAAAAGGTTTGGCAATTATTGGAGGAAATTTTTGTATCTTATGCGTATATGCTCAAAAACTGTTATTTCTACACCTCTGCAAAAGCAGGATAAGTGGATTGGGGGGAAATTTGAATGATATAAATTTTTCTTTTTGGGATTTTTTTTTTTTTTTGGGTACCCTGTTGGGAACAATGTTGAAAAAAAAAAAAAAAAAAATTGGGGGGGGACGAAATTTTAAATAAATGTGTAAAGGAATATTTGCACAAAAGTGCTTTTTAACTTATTTAATGAAACTTTTAGGGAACCCCCAAAAGACCCCGAAATAACCCTTGACAAAAGAAAAACTAGATTCTATTTTTCAGGGACAAAAGAAATTCAAATTTTTTGTCTGGGGTTTTCCAGTTTACCTGGAAGTTTCCACGCCCCCGCGGCCCTCTACCACCTCCCGGGGGTCACGCCTGTCAACCCCATTGTTTTTCTCGGTGCAAAAGCAAAAAATAGAGCCCCGGCTGATAAAAGTTTTATACTCCCATCCCTCCAATGTGATATCCAATTTTTCTCTATCTAAATTGTTTGATTCCCTTATTATCTTGCTCTTATCTATGTTCACTTTCAACTTTCTACCTTTACACACCCTGCTGGTATTGTATTAAATATGGGTGACAGAGACTGAATGTTTAAATAAATGTGTAAAGGCCAATATTTGCTACAATATGCAGATGCTGTTTTAACTTACATTTACTGCAAACAGTTTCAGGTGTTTATTTCCTCAACCAGACCTCTGAATATATCCATATGCCACAAAGAGAGAGAGAAACTAGAGTAATTCCTCCATTTATGCAGGTATGCTATATGCAAATTCACTTTTGTGTCTGGATACATTTCTACCAATTATTTACTGTGAGAAAAAATGTACACTAGAGTATGTGATCAGTGTGGTTCACAAAATGTAATGAAGATTTCTGTAATGAAAAATTAAGTACTGGTGACCTGATTAATTAAGAGTACAACAGCTGATATGGGACAGATTGCAACTACAGTGAAACCTCAGATTAATAGACCCCCAATTAATGTATTTTGGAAACTACAGGTAACAAAAATTGGCTGGACAAATGTTGGAATCATTAGACAAAATGAAAAAAAGTCCATAGATTCTGGATTTTGTTCAGGGTGACCCAAAAAAGAAATACTTTCATCACCACTCACTCCATCACTGTCATGCCAGAGGCAGGCCAATACTACAGTTTAAAAACTGCAACGTATCTCCACCCCTCCTTCAGAGTGCAGGCACTATACTTCCCACCTCTAGGACTCAAGTCCAGCTAACTGGCTTTCCTTAATCCCTTCATAAATGTTACTTTGCTCACCAGGATGACAGATATCTGCGTTAAAAAAAATATTTAGTATGTCAGTATTATATGTTCTGAAATTAAGTATAAAAAACAGTGAGAAATTTTTCTTTATCATTCCTGGAAGGAAATATTTTGTTAACAGATATGAATTTCAAGATTATTAGTAATAAAATTAAAAAAAAAAAAAAAAAAAACAAGAACTTACTTATGTAAGCTCCAAGAAGTGCTTTAGCTGTGAGAGACAGATCTATGCCTCGAGGTAAATTGGACAGAGACGCACTTAATATTGGGTCCCGTTGAAGCATTGGTGACAGTGTGACAGCATACTCCAGAAGCTGTTCAGTGAAGATGAGAGCATTGCTGGTGACTTCATGTACAGTCCCATCTTTAGGCAAGGCACGCTCTCCATCACTCTTCACACTCTCTACAAAGCCCTCCAAAGCTCTGACACACTGAATGGGAAAAATTAAATGAGCGAGATGGAGACAATTTTCTTGGCAGCCTGGGAGGAATAATTATATTAATTATGGAGATCCATTAAGTCTCCAGCTGGTAGTTTCTGCAAGCAACTAGAGATCATAGGTTCTCAATTCTACTGATGTAAGATTACCATAGAAATCATTTTGGAGAGCAAGAAAAAATCACACAGACACACATCTGGGATTATGTATAATTGGGAAACAAGATGCAAAACAACCACAGGGGAGTTGAATGATGGCTCAAAAATTTTCATGTTGCAATCAACACATCTTCAGGAGCTTGCAATGTTGCAGAAATAGAGTAGGATATCCAGGTAGATTCATTCAGGGAAATGAATGGCTCTAGCTAGAGCCATTCCCCTAAACAAATCCACTTGGCCTTCCTACTCATTTCTGCAAAAATGTGTTGATTGGAACACAAAAAGCCTAAAACTTTCATTTAACTCTCCCTGTGGTTGTTTTGCAGCATCTGAGATATGTTTAAGTTCTTCTATGTTAAGTCATGCTAAAAGCTGTTACAGTGCAGACTTTGTGACATGGCACAGTGATGTGCTGCAGAATCGAGCAATTGCTCTTCTATGTGATGTGGTATAATAAAACTGGTTCACTGTCTTTGCAATGGTGGATTCCTTTTATTTATTTATTAGACCTTTTATATTTTCCTTATTTTTTTTCAACAAACCAGCCGTATCCCACGGAGGCAGGGTGGCCCAAAAAGAAAAACAAAAGTTTCTCTTTTTCAATTTAGTAATTTATATAGGAGAAGGGGTTACTAGCCCCTTGCTCCCGGCATTTTAGTCACCTCTTACAACACGCATGGCTTACGGAGGAAGAATTCTGTTCCACTTCCCCATGGAGATAAGAGAAAATAAACAAGAACAAGAGCTAGAAAGAAAATAAAAGAAAATCCAGAGGGGTGTGTATATATATGCTTGTACATGTATGTGTAGTGTGACCTAAGCGTAAGCAGAAGTTGCAAGACGTACCTGAAATCTTGCATGTTTATGAGTCAGAAAAGAGACACCAGCAATCCTACCATCATGTAAAACAATTACAGGTTTCCATTTTACACTCACTTGGCAGGACGGTAGTACCTCCCTGGGTGGTTGCTGTCTACCAACCTACTACCTAGGATTTTCCTTATTATTACCAATATTAACCATAAGGTGAATAGAACTCCACAAAAAATTAAAGACTGGGCTTAAGTAGTATGTTAATTTCGTACATAAATGCTCAGGGGTCATGACAAGCAACTGTTTTAAAAATAAACAGATACATCATTTACCAGAATAAAACCACAGACATGCCTTGTATAAAGTGTGAATTTTTAAATCTAACTGGTAGGGAGTTTTTTAAGATAACTATCAAAGAGATGCATCTCATAACTGGGCCACAATTACCACAACATGCTGAAATCTTCCATTATATCCAGTAAAAATATTTATTATAAACTAGAGTAACTGATGAAGAACTCTACCAGAGCAAAGCAAATTAATCACTACACCAACCAATAATGTCAAAAGGGGTAAAAGCACTCTATAGATGCTCCTTGACTTTCGTTGGGGTTATGTTCCAATGAACTCATTGTAAGTTGAAAATATCATAAGTCAAATATGAATACGATTATGATAAATGAATAAATAACTACTGTCACTGAATAAGTAAATATACAAATAATTACTGTAACTGACTAAATGCCAATATTGAAAAGTAAATAAATAAATGCAGGTTTATCCTATCAATAAATGTGTAGTGTGTGTATCACTATCACACCACTGGAAAGTTAAAATACTTTAAGTTGGGCCATCATAAAGTGAGGAGTGTCTGTACTCTGTTACTGATAAATATTTTACTGTATTTGAATGAAAACCTGAAAAGTACTAATATTTCACTTACAGTCTCCTGTAACATATTGATGATGGCAGCAAACTTTGAGCGTATTGATGTCTGGCAGTTTGTTAGCAAACGATCGTACTCAGGCTGCATGTTTGTGACATGACGTAACATTGCCAAAACTGAGAGTACAGCTTGGTGGTCCCCTCTCCCCACGCTTCTTCGTGCCTGGCTAGCCAGACCCTGGTACAAAAACAAATAAAATGGGGTTGAAAATTACATAACAGTGAATATTACTAATATACATACAGCCTCTCCTCACTTAGCGACGTACTTGTTTACCGACACCTCGGACTTACAACGGGCTGTCTGACCAGTATACATACCTAAATAATGTATATTAGTTCCGATTTCCTCTATTCTGTTTATTACAATATACAATACATTACTGTATAAGCATTTAAGAATACATATACCGGAAATGTTATAAATGGTGCAAAGGTGACATTAAAACAATAACAAAGATGGTTGATACAAACTCACTACCATTATAGTATGCTCCTCACTTAGCGACGAATTCGGTTACTGACATGATCTTAGGAACGGAACTCCGTTAATTAGTGAGAATGTGTTTGTGTGTGTGTGTGTGTGTGTGTGTGTGTGTGTGTGTGTGTGTGTGTGTGTGTGTGTGTGTGTGTGTGTGTGTATGTGTGTGTATAATATATATATATATATATATATATATATATATATAATATTAATATATATATATATATATATATACATTTTTTTTTTTCAACAAGTTGGTCGTCTCCCACCGAGGCAGGTGACCCAAAAAAGAAAGAAAATCCCCAAAAGAAAATACTTTCATCATCCCTTCAACACTTTCACCACACTCACACATTATCACTGCTTTTGCAGAGGTGCTCAAATACAACAGTTCAGAAGCATATACGTATAAAGATACACAACATATCCCTCCAAACTGCCAATATCCCAAACCCCTCCTTTTGAGTGCAGGCATTGTACTTCCCATTTCCAGGACTCAAGTCCGACTATAAGAAAATAACCGTTTCCCTGATCCCTTCACTAAATATTACCCTGCTCACACTCCAACAGATCGTCAGGTCCCAAGTATCATTCGTCTCCATTCACTCCTATCTAACACGCTCATGCACGCTTGCTGGAAGTCCAAGCCCCTCGCCCACAAAACCTCCTTTACCCTCTCTTTCCAACCCTTTCGAGGACGACCCCTACCCCTCTTTCCTTCCCCTATAGATTTATATGCTTTCCATGTCATTCTACTTTGATCCATTCTCTCTAAATGACCAAACCACCTCAACAACCCCTCTTCTGCCCTCTGACTAATGCTTTTATTAACTCCACACCTTCTCCTAATTTCCACACTCCGAATTTTCTGCATAATATTTACACCACACATTGCCTTAGACAGGACATCTCCACTGCCTCCAACTGTCTCCTCGCTGCTGCATTTACCACCCAAGCTTCACATCCATATAAGAGTGTTGGTACTACTATACTTTCATACATTCCCTTCTTTGCCTCCATAGATAACGTTTTTTGACTCCACATATACCTCAACGCACCACTCACCTTTTTTCCCTCATCAATTCTATGATTAACCTCATCCTTCATAAATCCATCCGCCGACACGTCAACTCCCAAGTATCTGAAAACATTCACTTCTTCCATACTCCTCCTCCCCAATTTGATATCCAATTTTTCTTTATCTAAATCATTTGATACCCTCATCACCTTACTCTTTTCTATGTTCACTTTCAACTTTCTACCTTTACACACATTCTCAAACTCATCCGCTAACCTTTGCAATTTTTCTTTAGAATCTTCCATAAGCACAGTATCATCAGCAAAAAGTAACTGTGTCAATTCCCATTTTGAATTTGATTCCCCATAATTTAATCCCACCCCTCTCCCGAACACCCTAGCATTTACTTCTTTTACAACCCCATCTATAAATATATTAAACAACCATGGTGACATTACACATCCCTGTCTAAGACCTACTTTTACCGGGAAGTATTCTCCCTCTCTTCTACACACCCTAACCTGAGCCTCACTATCCTCATAAAAGCTCTTTACAGCATTTAATAACTTACCACCTATTCCATGAACTTGCAACATCTGCCACATTGTTCCCCTATCCACTCTAACATATGCTGTTTCTAAATCCATAAATGCAATAAAAACTTCCCTACCTTTATCTAAATACTGTTCACATATATGCTTCAATGTAAACACTTGATCTACACATCCCCTACCCACTCTGAAGCCTCCTTGCTCATCCGCAATTCTACATTCTGTCTTACCTCTAATTCTTTCAATTATAACTCTACCGTACACTTTTCCTGGTATACTCAGTAAACTTATTCCTCTATAATTTTTACAATCTCTTTTGTCTCCCTTCCCTTTATATGAAGGGACTATACAAGCTCTCTGCCAATCCCTAGGTACCTTCCCCTCTTTCATACATTTATTAAACAAAAATACCAACCACTCCAACACTATATCCCCCCCTGCTTTAAACATTTCTGTCATGATCCCATCAGTTCCAGCTGCTTTACCCCCTTTCATTCTACGTAATGCCTCACGCACCTCCCCCATACTCACATCCTGTCCTTCTTCACTCCTTAAAGATGGTATACCTCCCTGGTCAGTGCATGAAATTACCACCTCCCTTTCTTCGTTGACATTTAAAAGTTCCTCAAAATATTCTCGCCATCTACCCAATACCTCCATCTCCCCATCTACTAACTCCCCTACTCTGTTTTTAACTGACAAATCCATTCGTTCCCTAGGCTTTCTTAACTTGTTTAACTCATTCAAAATTTTTTTTTTATTTTCATTAAAATTTCTTGACAGTGCCTCTCCCACTCTATCATCTGCTCTCCTTTTGCACTCTCTCACCACTCTCTTCACCTTTCTTTTACTCTCCATATACTCTACTCTTCTTATAACACTACTGCTCTGTAAAAACCTCTCATAAGCTAACTTTTTCTCTTTTATCACACCCTTTACTTCATCATTCCACCAATCACTCCTCTTTCCACCTGCACCCACCCTCCTATAACCACAAATAAAGCAGCAACGACTTCTGCTCCACATTCTAATACTGCATTTTTAAAACTATTCCAACCCTCTTCAACCCCCCCACTACCCATACTTGCACCAGCCCACCTTTCTGCCAATAGTTGCTTATATCTCACCCGAACTTCCTCCTCCCTTAGTTTATATACTTTCACCTCCCTCTTACTTGTTGTTGCCATTTTCCTCTTTTCCCATCTACCTCTTACTCTAACTGTAGCTACAACTAAATAATGATCCGATATATCACTTGCCCCTCTATAAACGTGTACATCCTGGAGCCTACCCATCAACCTTTTATCCACCAATACATAATCTAACAAACTTTCATTACATGCTATATCATACCTTGTATATTTATTTATCCTCTTCTTCATAAAATATGTATTACTTATTACCAAACCTCTTTCTACAAATAGCTCAATTAAAGGCTCCCCATTTTCATTTACCCCTGGCACCCCAAATTTACCTACTACTCCCTCCACAACATTTTTGCCCACTTTAGCATTAAAATACCCAACCACAAGTACTCTCACACTTGGTTCAAAACTCCCCATGCATTCACTCAACATTTCCCAAAACCTCTCTCTCTCCTCTACACTTCTCTCTTCTCCAGGTGCATATACGCTTACTATAACCCACTTTTCACATCCAACCTTTATTTTACTCCACATAATCCTTGAGTTAATACATTTATAGCCCCTCTTTTCCTGCCATAGCTTATCCTTCAACATTATTGCTACTACTCCTTTACCTCTAGCTCTATTTGAAACCCCTGACCTAATCCCATTTATTCCTCTCCACTGAAACTCTCCCACCCCCTTCAGCTTTGTTTCACTTAAAGCCAGGACATCCAGCTTCTTCTCATTCATAACATCCACAATCATCTCTTTCTTATCATTTGCACAACATCCATGCACATTCAGACTTCCCACTTTGACAATTTTCTTCTTCTTATACTTTTTAGTAATTATTACAGGAAAAGGGGTTACTAGCCCATTGTTCCTGGCATTTTAGTTGACTTTTACAACACACATGGCTTACGGAGGAAAGATTCTTATTCCACTTCCACATGGATATAAAAGGAAAAGTAATAAGACGAAGAACTATTAAGATAAAATCAAAGAAAACTCAGATGAGTGTGTATAAATAAACATGTACATGTATGTGTAGTGTGACCTAAGTGTAAGTAGAAGTAGCAAGACGTACCTGTAATATTGCATATTTATGAGACAGACAAAAGACACCAGCAATCCTACCATCATGTAAAACAATTATAGGCTTTTGTTTTACACTCACACACACACACACACACACACACACACACACACACACACACACACACACACACATATACATATACATACACATATATACACATATATACATACATACATACATACATATACAGTGGACCCCCGCATAACGATCAGCTCCCAACTCGACCAATTATGTAAGTGTATTTTTGTAAGTGCTTTTGTAGGTGTATTTTTGGGGGTCTGAAACGGACTAATCTAATTCACAATATCTCTTATGGGAACAAATTCAGTCTATAACGGCACCCAAACAGACTTCTGGATTGAAATAATATCGTTATGCGGGGGTCCACTGTATATATATACGTTAAGTAACTACATAACAAAACATCTTTATAATAAAGAGAAAAACATACTTCACCCTCAGCAACCAACTGGTCCATTGGGTCTCGAAGAATTAGCTCAAATGTACGTGTGACCCTGTCTTCCGGCACTAGTTGTTGGGACAACAGCAGTTCAGCAAATGCTAGCCGATGAAGAGCAGTTACCTGTCAATATATATTTTCCAGTAGCATTATTAGTAGTAGGAGGAGTAGATAAGGAGGAGGAATAGCAGGAGGAGAAGCAGCAGGAGCAGGAGCAGCAGTGGCGGGTGGGTGGGTAGGTATGCAATAAGATCTCAGTAAACAAGTGATATCATAATTTGCAAAATAAACACTGAAAAAATAGTGAATTTCCACACAAACATGCAGAAATGCATTCATTTGTATGTAGTGCATATTTAATGTTAGCAGTAGTTGCAAGATTTACTTTTTATCACAACCATTTATGAGATAACAAAAATAGCACTCCTGTCAATAAAACACTTATCAGACCTCCGTTTCATGCCCATGTGACAAATGGCTGTAGATATACATTAATAAGAATTTTGGAAATGAAGTGTGGTTTTTTCTTCAGGGCAAGAATTTTGGAAGGAAGGTTGCAGATGTACCCACTTAACAATCAGTACCCACTTAACAATCAGTAATGTTGTACATAGTGGTGAAATATTTCTTGTAAATGATCAATCAAAAAGTGAGGACTGCATTCCAAAAGACATCATGCATGCGAGAATCTGGATCATGATGGGATACATTCAGTATTCAAATGCTATTAGTATATTGTATACATAGTTCAGAAGTTAACTTTTAAGGGTTCAATTCTCAATATTGTGTTATGTCAGTCAATGATGAAAGTACATTTTTTATAGACAATGTTACCCTAACAGCTTCAGTAGAATTAAAAACATTAATCTTATATAAATACAAAAATGATTTACCTGATTCAAGTAAAGTTCCACATCACTATCCTCAAGACCTTCTTCACCTACTGTCCCTGGAGTGGTTGCTGCATAGAAAAAATACTCTCTATCAAATAATGATATATATAAAGTCTTCTATATACAAAATATGTTACTGGAATTAGAATTTTAAAATGATTCAACTACTTTGAAGGATTGTTTATTTTTCAAGTGAAATTTAATCTCAAACTTTTTTTTATGATCTCTATGAATATATAAGTGTAGTAAATAAGCAAACTTTGGAGTTCAAGTCAATAACAGTCTTTCTCCCAGTCTTGTTCAAAATAAAGGATTACAACAAAGCTGTTCTACATCATTGTTAATGGATTCATCTCAGTTCTCACTCATGGGATTTGGTTTTCCCTATTTATGGATAATTTCACTATGATTTTGGCAGATATGAACATTCAGTTGGTAAATGCCTTGTCAAAGAAAGATTTATTTCCACATGATAAAATGTTTGTACAGTACTGGATGACATTTGGTTGTGCATGCAGAAAACCCATGGTTATGCATGCTACTAGTACTATTGGTTGGGCCTTGTTACACAGCTTCAAGTTCTATCTGAAAATGAGCTCTTATGTATTATGTACTTCCATATGGTGTCCTATCATTTCCTGTTTCTCCTGTCCTTGTATGAGCCTCTTATGGCTTGCCTAACTGCTGAATTCCTCAACCTCCTTTTTCATTGTGGTTTGCTACTTGAACATCAAATTGCTTCCCTAAAAATCATGGAAGATTAAATTTGCTCAAGAATTTGCTTCATTTTCTATCCTCATATGATCTAGGTCTTATCTAAGCTAAACTCTGAGGACCAAATAAAGTCCTCTGTTTCCATAGCTATTCTCTCTTTCTGAGCTGGACATCATTCATCAGGGATTGCAATTTTGTCTGAGTCTTTTGGTCACCCCCAATGATAATACAACCAATGATCCTTGACCTATAACTAAAGCTGTTTATAAAACTATCAGTTTTAATTATTTGTGCTTCTTTATTGTCTCCCTTAAATTTACACATACAAAACATTGTTTAAACCCTTGGTCTATCTCATCTTTCTGTTCCTCCTGCCATTTACTTCTCCCTCCAACTCTGAGAAGTTCCTATAGTCTAAATCTGTCCTTCCTTTCTTCTATTCTTCATGTCTTACTTCTCTTCTTTTCACCCATTGTCCTCACTCCTGATTAGTATTTCCAATAACAGTCTGATGCTACTGTTGTGTACACTAATCACTCCAAATCCTATGAAAGAATTCGTACAAAGCTGTAATTCAAGGATGAGTGCTGCACTCAGCTAGTATTCTCAAGGCAGAGTTAAGCACTCTTTTTGTGCCACCATAAATGATGCTACCGTGTCTGCCTTTACTGTAGTCTCAGACTTTCAAGGTCATCAAAAACAAAACAAAAGCTTGATTCCTTTCACCCCCTCATCTTTCGTCAAGCATCTTCAACAACCACAATAAACGTCTTTTTCTGGTTCTCTAGCTATGTTGGAGTTTCAGGCAATGAAGCTTCAGATTCTACAACTCATTTTGTAGTCTGGAACCTTTTCATTTCAGGCAGACAGATGCCATTTTTATGATTATATTCCAGTACCAAATAAAAACAGGTGAGATCACTGGCAGTGTTGTTGATCTACATTACTGACCAACAAGATGATTTTAGTCCATCCACAACTGGGCTTCTGGACATCCTCCCTTCATCATTGTAGAAAGCACTTTGAGGGGCATGAAGTACAATATGATAATGTGTGTTAAAGAGAAATAAATGGCTTCCAGTAATAAAGGGACATAGACAAGGTTGTGATGTTTCCATGACTGTACAATATATTTATAGATAGGCTTAGAAGAGAAGAGAATATTACTGTGTTTTGGAGGGAAGTGCTTCTAAAATATAATGAATCTAATTTTAAATGTTAGCTGTCCTAATTTATGCTTACAAATTAGCATTATTGCTCCAGCTTTTGAAGAGAAGACAAACAGAACAGAGAATATGAGCAAAGTAACATGTATAAGTAAAAGTGTGAGAATGAAAAATTATAAGAAAAAATAACAGGAAGGAGATTAAGAGAAAATGAATGCATTTGTATATTTGAGAGATGTATCTGCAGATGGTTCTATGAAAATCAGGTCAATAAAAGAAGAGGGGCAGAAACCTGAAAGAGTATAAGGAGTTGTTGAGAGAGTAATATATTTAAATCATGAAGAAGGTATTTCTGTGAAAGGAGCCTCAAAGGTAAGCTCACTTAGAAAATGTCAGACTTTGTTTTTCATACCAATGCTCACATTTCTGAGTTCCAGTAATGGTCTGACTTATATTTTGCCCTCAATGTGATGCTTCCTATGTCAACAATCACATGTCAATACACACTTCTTGTGAGCAGTGCCACCTGGGACCCATACTGTGCTTAGAACTGTAGTTGGCAACTGAAACAACAACTGAGGGAGGCAGTAGTAACTGTGGGCCCTGCATTATTGTAATTACACACTGTAAACTATCTATGTAAATAAGACTCCCTACAACATGTCAATCCCATTGTAAACTTGCAAAGAAATAAATATGATTTGATGATTTGATTTGCAACCCCAGACTTGGAAAAGCATTTTTCATGCTTCAGAATGTTATTTTACTATCAGAGCCATTGGGGGGTACCTAAAAGCCTCAAAGGAGGAAGCTGTTGATAGGAGGCAGAATCCATAGAGCCAGGTACACAGACAGCAGCATCATTATAAGAAGGAGGAAAAAGATATAATGTAAGTAGAACGGTGGTGGAGACAGTGAAAACAAGGTGACCTGATATATGACGGAGGGGTGAGGTGTGACCCCAGTGAGGGATCACTACAGGGTCACCAGTGTTGCACACTGTTCTTACTCTTAACTGCCTGACCTCTTGGATTGCTAGCAATTATGCAGGCTAATGAAGTGGAGAGGGAGTCTATGTACTCAGCCCTGAGCAAAGCCTGTGCTATGAATCAATATTTGGCACTGACAACATCCTGCATGGTCAGAACAACCCTGATATAGAATACACACCAAGCATCAGAACTAGCAATAACAGACAAGTAAACATGCATAATCAGACTAATGGATGATCCACCAATAACAGAGCTCAGCAACAAACTGACTTAGATGGACATCTCATCAATGCCTGGCCAAATAGACAAGGGAACTCCAAATATTTATACTGTAAGAAGCATGCTCCCACAATGAGGGTAGAAAACAAGGAATTAGGTTTGCATAGGAAATTGTGAATCCTGCTGAGGGCTTGGGGCAATTCTTGTACAGATCTATGACCTGGCTTACTCCAAGCAAGCAACACTGGAGTTACATTAAGAGGATAGAACAAAAACTCAAAAGAGAGCTCACCTACATCCTGTAGGAGAGGATAGTGCATGGAATGGTATTCCATCAAAGGTCAAACAGCTGCTAAGACACCTGTGGGGGAGAAGTTTACCTGCAAAACTCTCAGCCAGTTCTATGGGCCAATCCAAAGATAATGTCATGCAGGTCAGATACACAACCCAGTCATAGGAACATAAGTGAGCACCTGAGTAATGAGCTTCCAGAAAAAAAGACAAAATTGTGATCATGAAGTGAGTCTTTGTAGCAAACAATTTCACATCTGGAGCACCCCAGTGCTTCACCCAGGTGAAGGTCCAACTCAAAGTTTAGACATCCTGGTAAATGTGAGGGAAGTACTGTAGTTTGATTTTTTCACACAGAAGTACAAAGCTCTTTCCATCATTGGCAATAAAGTTGAGCAAGGGGCATGCAACTGTCTGAGTAAAATGTCGAGTGCTACAGGTGGCCCCAGCATACAGTCACAATGTGGATCCCCTGAAGTTCCTTGCAGGCCACCAGGACTGGGAGCAAATGAGGGCACTAAAGTCCCATAGCCTGCAGAAAAGGCATCTATCATGAGGGAATGTGATGGAACAGAAAAGTCAAGGGAACAGCATCATGAATTCAGGTAGGCCAGAATGAGCCACTACCGCTTGGCTTTCCTGAGCATCAGCAAGAGAGGTAGAGACATGTTCATGCAGAGCCAAGGAGGACTGACTCATTACCCTATACTGATCACGAGAACCACAAAAGGTCGAATGCAAGAACCCCAGGGAGGACCTAATTGTATTGCTGGAAGTTCTAGTCCAAGAGAAGAAAGTCTGAATCTGATGAGGACACACTGTATGCCCAGGTTATGGAGAAGTGGAACTGATGAGATCAAACTGCAATGAGTACACTGGAATAAGTGACATTTGCTCATATTCAAGAAGGTTCACTACCTGCAACACCCAAAGGGCTGCCCACAGAGGCAGCAAGAAAAAAATGACCCAGACTGTTGCTGATGTGCAAGAACAAAGATACACCATGAGTACAAAGGCTGTGTGACAGACTGGCAGAGGCTTGTGAAGATCCATGGTAATGCCTAGGCCTAAAGAGCAATGCCAAAACCTGGTAGTCCATACTATCTACATAAAAATAAACATGTGAAAGATGTAATAAAACAATGCGAGACCAAAGATGAAACCACAGAAGCAATAAGGGGATGAAGATTGAAGAGACAACAGGAAGGTTGAAGGTACAACATGGAAAGGAAGGCTGAAGAGATAGCAGAGGTGAAACTGAAGAGACAACAGGAAAAAAGTTAGAGAAACACTAGGGATGAAAACTGAAGAGACAACAGGGGGAAGAAAGTTCATGAGACAACAGGGAAAAGGAAGGCTGAAGAGACAAAAGAGGGAGGAAGGTTGAAGAGACAATAAAGAAGAAGACTGAAGAGACAACATGAGAGAAGACTGAAGAAACAATAGGGAAGGCTGAAAAGAGAACACCTCATCATTCTCCCTAAATTAAGTTGATTCCTTCCTGAGCAAAAGAGAGGAGACTCCCCAGGACCTTCCATAAATCATTGTGAAGAATTAACCTACCATCCTCTGGTAGTAAACAATCCCCATCCCTGAAAAGATTCCTGAAGAGATGAGTTCTTGTCTGCCAAGGAAAGGGTAGTTGAGAGGTAGGAAAGGTGCTCCTGGAGTCATGGGGACCAGACA